GCGTGCAGCCCTGCGCCTCGTGGGGAGCATCTGTGGGGCGGGACGGGGGGGTCATGTGGGGCCCGGTGCCATCCTATGGGGCCCCGGGTGACGCTATTTAGGGTCAGTGGGCGGCTCTATATAGGGAACCCAGGTGACATGATTTGGGGTCTCTGGGTGGCACCACAGAGGGGCGCCAGGAGCCACCAGATGAGGTCGCTGGGTGACGTTATGTAGGGTCTCCGGGTGGCACCATTGGGGTCCCCGGGTGACACTGTATAGGGTCTGTGGTGCACCATGTAGGGGTCTCTGGGTGGCACCATGTAGGGTCTCTGGGTGACACTGTATAGGATCCCCAGGCAGCTGTACGTAGGGTCTCTGGGTGGCATTATATTGGCTCCCCAGGTGATGTTATATAGGGTCCCCAGGTGCCACCACATAGCTGACACGTATATAGGGTCTCTGGTGGCACCATATGGGGTCCCTAGGTGGCTCTATATAGGGTCCTCAGGTGACATTATATAGGGTCCCCAGGCAACACCATATAGAGTCTCCTGTTGGCTCTATATAGGGTCTCTGGGTGGCTCTATATAGGGTCTCCAGGTGACATTATATGGGGTCCCAGCTGCCGCCATACAAGGTCTCTGGGTGGCTCTATATGGGGTCCCCGGGTGGCACATTTTGGGTCCCCGTGTGCCACCATTTAGGCCCCCTAAGTTCTATAGGGTTCCCACGTGGCCCCACAACCACCGCCTCCCCCCAACACCCATCCGTGGGGCAGAGAAGCACCTCTCAGGACCCCCACACGGTGTCCCCCCATGGGGCGGCCCTACAACCGCACCCCCCACCGCCCCACAGCATCGCAGCCCTTTGCAGAGACCCCCCTTTCCCCCTCCCCCCATCGCCCCCCACACTCACAGCAGCTGAACCTCCTCTTCCAGACGGTGCCATTTGCACCCCACATCTCCGGCGCCGGCTGCGCCCTACAGCCGCCCCATCCCCTACAGCCGCCCCATCCCATCCCCTGCGGCCCCACAGCGCCCGTCACCCAACTGGTTCCCGACTGGTTCCCAACTGGTTCCCATCTGCATGTGGGAGGGGAGGAGGGCCGCTATGGGGCGGCGGCAGCTGTGGGGTTTGGGGGCGGGGAGGGGTTTTGGGGTGGGGGGGGGGACACGCACACGATTGTATGGAAAAAGGGACAATGGGTGCTTTGAGGTCACGAGTGCCAGAAATGCGGCGCCCACGAAGACTGCGCCCACACTTGGAAAACCCCACAGGTTTGGGGGATGGGGGCCCTTCCCAGTGAAAACCTCACAGGTTGGGGGGAGGGAGGGGGTCCCACTCAGAAAACCCCACAAACTTGAGGGGGGTGGGGATCCCTTCCCATTAAAACCCCACAAACTGGGGTCTGACCCACTAAAAACCCCAAAGACTGGAGAGCGGGGGCTCTCAGCCAGAAAAAAACCCATAAATTGGGGGGGGGTGGGGGTCCCTACCCACAAAGCCCCACAAATTGAAGGGGGGGGGTTCCTTTTCAGTAAAAGCCCCACAGATTGGGGGGATGGAGGTCTTTACCCACTAAAACCCAACAAATTGGGTTCCCCACCCAGGAGAAACCCCACAGGTTGGGGGGGATGGGGCTCAAAGCCCCATAGTGTACAGCAGCTTCCCCAACCCCCCCCCACAGCACCCCACAACTGCCCCCACCCCACACATCCCCACATGAGCAGCAACACAAGCTGACTTTAATGAGGGACACAGAAGTGGCTGTGGGACCCCATGGTGATGGGACCCCATAGCATTGGGACCCCATGGTGATGGGACCCCATAGCATTGGGACCCCATGGTGATGGGACCCCATAGCAGTGGGGCAGGAAGGCAGCACGTGGAAGCCAAGGGGCACAGTGAGGTCACAGGGGTCGGCCGCTGCTTGGGGCCACATAGGGGTGGAGGGAGCTGGAGGCACTTTGGCCCCATAGATGTGTGGGGTGACAGCAGGGACATCACAGCGGTGCCACGTAGTTCCCGGGGAATGTTCCGAATTTCTGCGTCCTCTGGGACACTCCTGGGGGCGGTGTGAGTGGGGCTGCATTGTCCCCACCCCACCCCACCCCATCCGCTCCCACCCCACCCCATATCTGCCCCACACACCCACAAACCAGCCATCGTCACAGCACTGCAGCACATCCACGCGGTCCCCCTCCCTCAGTTCCAACTCATCACCGTTTTGGGGTCGGTACTCATAGAGCGCGCGGTGCCTACAGAGCAGCCACAGTGCGGGGGGGGCCGACCCCACAGCGGGACGTCGGCACCCCCCAGACTTACGGGGTCCATCGGATCTCGGAGCCGACGTGGGGGGAGGTGGGCTCGGGGTGTGGGGTGGGTCCTCCTGCAGATGGGGGCTGTGTGGGGAGAAGGGAGAGGCCATGTAGGGCTGTCCCTACAGGGCGATATGGGGCTGCTCCTATAGGGGGATATGGGGCAGCCCCTAGAGGGAGATATGGGGCTTCTCCTATAGGGAGGTATGGGGCAGCCCCTATAGGGGGATATTGGGCTGCTCCTATAGGATGACAGGGGGCAGCTCCTATAGGGGCAATATGGGGAGGCTCCTATAGGAAGACATGAGGCAGCCCCTATAGGGAGATGTAGGGCTGCTCCTATAGGGAGACATGAGGCAGCCCTTACAAGGAGAAATGGGGCAGCCCCTACAGGGGGATATGGGGATGCTCCTATAGGGAGATATGGGGCTGCCCCTATAGGGAGATATGGGGATGCTCCTATAGGGAGACATGGGGCAGCCCCTATAGGGCAATATGGGGCTGCCCCTAAAGGGAGATATGGGGCTGCTCCTATAAGGGCAATATGGGGAGGCTCCTATAGGAAGACATGAGGCAGCCCCTATAGGGGGATACGGGATGCTCCTATAGGGTGATAAGGGGCTGCTGCTATGGGGTGGTATGGGGCTGCCCCACATTCCCTTATAGGGGCGGCCCCTACACAGCACAGGGACAGGTGATAGGGGGCGTCATTTATAGGGCGATGTGAGGCTGCCCCTATAGGGCAGATGGCACAGGGCTGCTCACCTCCTCGTGGGGCCCCACAGAGGGGCTGGGTGCAGCGGGTGCGGCGTGGGGCGGCAGTGGGGCCGGGCAGGGGCTGAGATCCTGGCGCCGAGGGGAGGGCGGGCGCACAGCGGGGTCACCGCAGCCCTGCTTTGTGCCCGCCTGTGGGGCTGGGGGCTGCGGGGTCGTGGGGCCGCCCCCCGGCTCGCAGTGCACACGCAGGTAGCAGCGGGGCGCGATGCCACGGCGCCCAGTGCCCACAATTTGTCCTTCGTACCAATGGGCGTCAACACGGCGCAGCAGGGACAGCTGCTCACCCTGCGGGCACAGCACGGCACAGCATGGCACAGCACGGCACAATATGGCACCACATGGAATAATATGGCACAGCATGGCACAGCACAGCACAGCATGGCACAGCACGGCACAGCATGGCACAGCATGGCACAGCATGGCACCACATGGAATAATATGGCACAGCATGGCACAGCACAGCACAGCATGGCACAGCACGACACAGCATGGCACAGCATGGCACAGCACGGCACAGCACGGCACAGTATGGCACAGTATGGCACAGGATGGCACAGTATGGCACAGCATGGCACCACATGGAATAATATGGCACTATATGGCACAGCATGGCACAGCATGGCACAATATGGCACAGTATGGCACAATATGGACAGCATGGCACAATATGGCACAGCATGGCACAGCATGGCACAGTATGACACAATATGGACAGCATGGCACAATATGGCACAGCATGGCACAGCATGGCACAGCATGGCACAGCATGGCACAATATGCCACAATATGGCACAGTATGGCACAATATGGCACAGTATGGCACAATATGGCATAGTATGGCACAGTATGGCACAGTATGGCACAATATGGCACAACAAGCACACCCCAACACGCACCAACATGTAAGAACATGCAACAACACGCCCCCAACACATTTCAACATGCAATAACATGCTCTAACGTGCCATAATACGCAATAACATGCTCCAACATGCAATGTCACGCCCCAACATGCAATAACATGCCCCAACATGCCATAGCACATCACAACACGCAATGTCACGCCCCCAACACTCCCTAGCACACCCTAACACACCATAACACGTCCTAACACACCCTAACATGCAATAACATGCCATAACACACCATAACACGCCATAACGCACCATCACATGCAACAACATGCAATAACATGCCATAACACACTGCAACTTGCTGTAACATGCCATACCACACCATAACATGATGTAACATGCCATAACACACCATAACACACCATAACATGCCATAACATGCCATAAAATGCCATAACATGCCATGATGCACCATAATGCACCATAACATGCAACAACACATCATAACACGCCATAACATGCCATAACACACCATAACACGCGATAACATGCTGTAACACGCCATAACACGCCACAACACGCCATAACACGCCACAACACGCCATAATACGCTATAACACACCATAACATGCCATAACACACCATAACACACCATAACATGCCATAACACACCATAATACGCCATAACACACCATAACATGCCACAACACGCCATGACACGCCATACCATGCCATAACACACCATAACACACCATAACACAACGTAACACGCCATAACACAACACAACACGCCGTAACACGCCACAACACGCCATAGCACGTCATAACACACCATAACACACCACAACATGCCGTAACACGCCACAACACGCCATAGCATGCCGTAACACGCCACAACACGCCACAACACGCCATACCACGCTCACCCTGCGGAAGCTGAGCTCTATGGGCAGCTCCCCACGGAAGCTGAACACGGCTGTTGCGCGGCCCTGCGGTGCCGTTGGGGTCCCACGTTGCGGCGCTTCGCCGGTGGGCAGCAGCTATGGGGGGGGAAGAGAAGGATGTCGGCCCCCCCTGACACACGCGTGTGCCCCCAACACGCGTGTGACCCCGCGTCACCTCCACGTATGTGCGGGGGAAGATGCCCACGCGGCCGCGATGCTCCCCCCGCAGCCAATTGGCGTCCACAGCGCCGTGCAGCAGCACCACGTCGCCCCTGCGCAGCGGCAGCTCCCTGCGACGGCGACAACACGGGGCACTGAGCGGCCACAGCACACAGCGCCCGTCCCCAAGTGTCCCCAACCCCGCGTGGCATTGAGTATCCCCAGCCCCACGTGTCCCCAAGTGTCCCCAACCCCACTGGTCTCCAATCCCGAATGGCACCAGGTCACCCCAACCCAACATCTCCAGGTGTCCCCACCCCCCTGTTCTCAGATGTCCCCAATCCCACGTGGCACCCACTGGTCCCCAATCTGAGATGTCCCCAACCCCACGTGTCCCCAGTCCCAAATGGCACCAGGTCACCCCAACCCAACATCCCCAGGTGTCTCCAACCCCTGTTCTCAGATGTCCCCAACCCCAGGTGGCACCCAGTGGTCCCAACCCCACATGTCCCCAACCCCAGGTGACATCAGGTGTCCCCATGTCCCCAATCCCAGGTGTCCCTGGGTGTCCCCACCCCAGGTGGCGCTGAGCATCCCCAGCCCCACATGTCCCCATGTTTTCAGATGTCCCCAACCCCACGTGGCACCCGCTGGTCCCAATCCCAGATGTCTCCAACCCCAGGTGTCCCTAAGTGTCCCCAACCCCACGTGGCATTGAATGTCCCCAGCCCCACGTGGCACCCAGATGTCCCCAACCCCACATGTCCCCAATCCCGAATGGCACCAGGTCACCCCAACCCAACATCCCCAGGTGTCCCCACCCCCCTGTTCTCAGATGTCCCCAACCCCCAGGTGGCACCCGCTGGTCCCAATCCCAGGTGACATCAGATGTCCCCAACCCAATGTCCCGGGTGTCCCCAGCCCCGCATGTCCCCAAGTGTCCCCAACTCCATATGGTTCTCAGTGTCCCCAGCCCCCAACCCAGGTGTCCCCAGCCCCACATCTCCCCCACCCTGAGTAGCACCAGGTCACCCCAAGCCAACGCCCCCAGGTGTCCCCAGCCCCACGTCCCTGGATGTCCCCCGCCCCCCACCGTGGTGACACGGGCACAGACCTGGGGGACTCGGCATGGAAGTCAAACTTGAGGCGTGCGGCCGCCATCTGTGGGGCACAGAGCGGCGCTGGGGGGGCGCAGCAATGGGGCGCTGCCCCCTTCCCCCCCCCCGGCCCCATAGTGGACATTTCCTCACCTGGGCTGCACCGCGGGCGGGCGCTGCGGGGGTCCCCAAATCCGCTGCGATGGGGAGGGTGGGGGGCGGGGGGGGCTCTGAAAAGGGACACCGGGTGGGGGGGGTCTGCAAAGTGGTGCCATGGGGGGGAGTTGGCAGCAGGGGG